AAGGCAATTCCACAGACTGATCAGTGTATGCTTAATTCATGGATGAATGTTAAGAAAATAATTTCTGGGGGCACCTGGGTGGCTCAGTCATTAAGCGTCTGCCTTCGGCTCAGGTCATGATCCCAGGATTCTGGGATCGAGCCCCGCATCAGGCTCCCGGCTTGGTGGGAAGCCTGCTTCTCCCTCTCTCACTCCCCCTGCTTGTGTTCCCTCTCTCGCTGTGTCTCTCTGTCAAATAAATAAATACAATATTTAAAAAAAAAAAAAAAAGAAAATACTTTCTGGGGCACCTGAGTGGCTCAATCAAGTAAGCTGAGCTGATCTTGGTTTCCACTCAGGTCACAGTCTTGGGGTGGTGAGATCAAACGCTGTGTCAGGGAGTCTGCTTGAGATTCCCTTTCTCTCTTCCTCCTCCTTCTGCGCCCCCCCGCAACATGCTCTCTCTCAATAAATAAAATCTGTTTAAAAAAAGGAAAAAGGGAAGAAAGAAAATGCTTTCTGAATCCCTATGAGCCTCTAACAGTGGTGATTGAGGATACTGGGCCTTTAAAATTCCTGTATTTTCCCATTACCCTTAGGATAGCACCAGGATCCTTAGCCAGATGTGCAGGCAGCAAGTAGTGTGCCTTGCACACCGTGTGTGCTGGAGCCAAAGGGATCTGGGTTTCAACCTTGGCTCTTCCACTTCTTACTGTGCAACTTGGGGCAGTCACTGTGAACTCAAAGCAGCATTAATGTGAAAACTAAGTAAGACAGTACATACAACTCAGAGGCCACTACTCGTTTCCACAGTAATCTATTTTCTTACCTTCAGATCCTAATTTCCACTCAATGTCCTGTCTCCCTGTATAGTGTCATGTGCCTGTCTTAAAATGATGCAGGTATTAATTCAGTGAATTTGTCTCTGGAGAAAATAAATCACAATGGTAGTGTCTATTTTTCATATTGGACTGGCTAATTTTGTAAGATCCTCTACAAAGCCCCAGACACTACCTTGCTTGAGATCCGCCCCACACTTGCTACTTTTTTTTTTTAAAGATTTTATTTATTTATTGGCCAGAAAGAGAGAGCACAAACAGAGGAAATGACAGGCAGAGGGAGAGAAAGAAGTAGGCTCCCGTTGAGCAGAAAGCCCAATGCGGGACCTGATCCCAGGACCCCGAGACCATGACCCGAGCCGAAGGCAGAGGCCCAACCCTCTGAGCCACCCAGGTGCCCCTCTAGTTACTTTTAATATGAAGCTTCACTGGCTATGTAATTGGGGCAAATTACCTAAAATTTCCAAACTCTAGTTTCCTTAAACATAGGGGTGAGAAAATGTTTCTCATAGGGCTATAGGTAGAAATAATCTATTGTATTAAAGGGCTTAGCAGATTGGTTACCTTGTATTAAGCTGTCTATAAATGAAGATGAATTATAAAATCAGCAAATACTACTACTGTTATTAGCTTTCACTTGAAGCTGCGGATTTTCTCGGATTTCCCAGAAATTCCTGTTCTGAATATTTTCAAAAAAAATCAATTTTACTGAAGTAAAACTTACATACAACAAACTGGATCCACTTCAAATGTATAGTGTGATGAGTGTGGAGGCCAAGAAAAACAAGGCTGTACCCACCTCGAATCTAGCCCAATTTCCAGAGACAAATAACTCAGTTCCTTAAGCCCTAATGTTACCCTCCCCTCCATAATCAAAACTGAAGGAGGCTGAGGTAGAAGGAAAAGTAAATAAAGTTAAATTTCTTTTAAACCCAAATCTCACTAACAAGGACGCTTGATAGCAAGAATGTGACATTCCACCAGGAAACTCCCAATTGTCTTCATGCTAGTGCCTCATTAAAGGGGAAAATGGCCTTGGCTTGATAGTAACCAGGACTTCAAAATCCTGACAGTCTTCTTTACCCTGATAGCCCTTCTGAACACCCCCCTTGTCCTCCTCACCCACCGCCAAGTCCACCCCTACTCTGCTTTTAAAAACTCTGACTGTAATCTGGCTTGGGGTCCAAGTCCCTACTCCGCTGTGTCGGGTATACCTGGGCCCAGGCTTAAGCTTGTCAAATAAACCTTCGTGTGATTGCATCGGTGCTTGGCTCCTTGGTGGTCTCTCGGACGCAAAAACTCGGGCATAACAATGAGTTTCACAGACAAGGGCAGTCATGGAACCAGCACCAGTCAAGACACAGATCATCCTTGGAGGTTCCCTGGCGGTCCCATCTGCTGTCCGTTCTCTCCCATCCCAGACCACCAGCAACCTCTGAGTTATCTGCTGTCGAATTCCCTTATTAAGGTTCTAGTAGTTTATCTGTATATGAAAACTTTGGAAGAGAAAATATTTCCTTACTGAAGAGACTGTTTTCCTGATCCTAGAAGTGATATGTATTTGTTGAGACTTTGGAAAAAAGTAGAAAAGTACAAAAAAGAAAGAAAGGAAGAAAGAAGGAGAAAGAGAAAAGAAAGTAGGTTAACTGTTACTAATCTTTTGAAAAATTTCCTTAAGAGTTTTGAGCAAGATCCATTTATTTACAATTCATTTATTTTTACATCTGAGTTTACTCCATATTAACACTTATTTATCATGCTTTCTTCAAAACACATGACAGCATCAACATTTCTGTTAACTTTGCATAATTTTAATGTCTGCATAATATTCCATGTCAATGGATATGCTATAAATAACCATTTTGCTACTATACATTTTATACCGCAAATTTCTGGACTATTATAAGTAATATTTCAGTGATCATCCACAGACATTTCTCTCTTCCTACACTCCTTAGTGTGTTAGTGTTAGTAATAGTAGCAGTAACTAACACATACAGTACTTGTGTGCCAGGCACTGTTTTAAATACTTTATACACATTATCTCACTTAATCCATGCAACAACCTTCTGAGGTAGGTACTAGAAGTACCTCCATTACACAGTTGAGGAAAATTGAGCCACAGGTTAACAGAAACCAAGCTAAGGGGCTACTCTTCCACTCCCATAAAGAACCGCTGCTTATCATGAAAACTCCTGACAGGAGCGTATTATACGTATCACTGGTATAAATGCACCAAGGACAGCAGTAGTAACTGCGGGACCAGAGGTCTAGCTCTGGGCCTGACTTCACTCAAAATGTAAGACCTGCACCAACTCACCTTTTCTCAACTGTATGATGAAGAGTACAAGTTAGATGGTCTTATGTTCCCTGTGGATCCCAAGTCTCATGACACTAGCAATCATTTCTAGATCTTTCCTGCGAGACAGACATCAAGATCTTTGTCCTCTTGCTCTCAAAAATATTTAGCTTTCAACCCTCAATCATTAAGCACCTAACATATATCCTGTTATATGCAAATGGAAGATAATGGCTAGTCCCTACACATAGGAGATCCATTTACAGAATGAAAGAATTTAAACAAGTTCTCTTGCTAAATCTTTTTAGCATGAACTTTTAGCATGAACTTACCACAGAATCTGAAGATTAGGCTCCTCTCCCTAGAAAAGAAAACCTCTCTACAAACAAGATGATTTTGCATACAATACTACAAGTTGTTTACTGCTCCTCAGAAATGAGTCTACACACCCACTACAGGCAGGGCTTTCCTCAGGCTAAGGGCTGACGGAGATAAGAGGGAAATATGTGGCTGGGAGGGAAGCGAGAGCACTATGAGCTCTTACACTCAGGCAGGTTAAAGTTCAATGGCGCACACCACGGTGGGGCCACGACAGCAACACCAAGCACCATAGCTAGCAATCATAAAGCACTTAATATACATCAGGCATTGTTCTAAGCTGCTTATGTATTTACCCACTTAATACCCACCACATCCTACCAGGTAAGTAATATCCCTAATTTACAGCAGCAGATTCTGTAAGTTAGGCACAGAGACATTAGGCAGCATGCCCGAGCTCACTCAGCAAGATAAGGACAGAGGTGAAATTTCAACTTGGGTAGTCTACCTCAAGCTTATGCTATTTAACCACTATGTTCCCTTTATAAAGATGAAGGACTACCTTGGAAGGAGGGGGCTTTGGGCAGAGCTGTTTATTTCATGATCATAGTTGCTCTAAGTATGGCCCAAGTACCTGCTCCCACTCAAATGGGGACCTTCCCTGGTGTGCTCAAATACCTAATCTTCCTCTAGATCCCAATGTCCACAGAATCACTGTTTTCTAAATTCCCAGAAGCATTTAGCACCCTGTCTCAAAGAGTGCAACTCTAACTATGTCCCAAAACAACACAGAATGGGAAAGTCTGCTAACAGATGATTCTTGAGCATCCCTGATGATAGACTAGAGAAGCTGGATATCCTTTTCTTACTATTTAAAAATATCTTCAAATAATTATCAGAGTAACATGGAATAAACTATAAAACTCACTCAATCCCATTACCTAACAAATCATTTCTGGTCATTTATCCATGAATACTTTTCCAATTCTTGCCCACATGCAAATATATTTAAAGTAAGTACCATTACTAGTAAACGTGTTCTTTTTCTGCTTTACATTATAAACATTTTCCCTGCTGCTAACCAAAATGTGGTTTAAATCAGACACATAAAACAGAGTAAACACTACTAAATGTCCCAGAAGAGGACAATTAAGTATAAAAGGGGGGGGGCGCTGGAATACTATTTTTCCACTTTTGTGTATCAATTTTTGTGTATCAATTTTTTTATTCGTTGCAGTAGCAACACTCATTGATTTACCTTTTTGAAGAAGGTAACAAAGTTGGTTAATCTCTCAACAACTCACTTAATTAATGGTTTCCTCTCAGATTTTAGCATTTTAAGGCTTGGTCAAGAATGCTCCAAGGAGGGGCGCCTGGGTGGCTCAGTGGGTTAAAGCCTCTGCCTTCGGCTCAGGTCATGATCCCAGGGTCCTGGGAACGAGCCCCGCGTTGGGCTCTCTGCTCAGCAGGGAGCCTGCTTCCCTTTCTCTCTGCCTGCCTCTCTGCCTACCTGTGATCTCTGTCAAATAAATAAAAATAAAATCTTTAAAAAAAAAAAAAAAAGAATGCTCCAAGGACAACTGCTTTTGTAGGAATTTGTGGAAAGAAAGGCTGATGTATTTGTGTACTAAAATGAAATCTGTGGGTTATTTCCCCTTCTAGGACCAGTTCTCTAGTGCACAAAAGGATAACAAGACTGACAGCATTTCTGCACAGATTACATCTACACAGCTTCTTTCCAGAGTTTCCAACGCAAAATAAAGTTATTGCTCTTTGTAAAGAACTCTCCACATTCACTATACTAATAAGCATTTCCTCTAATATGACTGGTCTGGTATCGAACAAGGTTAGGGCTACTGACGAGCGCTGTCCCACACTGGTTACATGTTGAGAACTGCTCTCCAGTGTGGGCTATCTGATGTACGATCAGTGGAGAGTTCTGGCTGAAGATAATCCCACACTGATTACACTTATAGGTCTCTTCCCCAACATGAACCCTCTGATGCTTAATAAGGTCGTTCTTCCGGATGAAGGCTTTTCCACACTGGCAACATTCATATGGCTTTTCTCCAGTATGAATTCTTTGATGCACAATGAGGGCAGAACTCTGGCTGAAAGATTTCCCGCAATCGTGGCATTCATATGGTTTCTCTCCAGTGTGGGTTCTCTGATGGGAGAACAGGTGAGAGCTTCTACTGAAGCATTTTCCACAGTCTTTACACTCGAAGGGCTTCAGTCCCGTGTGAGTTCTGTGGTGCACCACAAGGTGAGATCTCTGGCTGTAAGATTTCCCACACTCATTACATTCATAGGGCCTCACTCTCACGTGAGTTCTCTGATGCAGAATGAGATGTGTGCTCTGTCTAAAAGACTTCCCACACTCAGGACATTCATAAGGTTTCTCTCCAGTATGAGTTCTCTGGTGCCTAATAAGCCTGGAACTGTGAACAAAAGATTTCCCACACTGGCTACATGTGTACAGTTTGTCTCCTGTGTGAGTTCTCTGATGCGTGACAAGGTGAGAAAACCAGCTGAAGGACTTTCCACACTCTTTACATTCATAGGGTTCTTCACCAGTGTGAGTCTTCTGATGTCCAATGAGGTGAGAACTCCGGCTGAAAGATTTTCCACATTCTTTACACTCATAAGGTTTTTCTCCAGTATGAATAAGACGGTGCCTGGTAAGATTAGAGCGCCAGCTGAAGAATTTTCCACACTCCTTACATTCATAGGGTTTCTCCCTATGTACACCCTTTGATATACCAAGGGATGTACCACCGGTAAGAGAGTTCACAGGATCAGGGCATTTGTAGGACTTATCTCCTGGCTGGGTTCTTGCAAACTGAATAAGGTGAATGTTTTGACAGAAGGTTGGACCACATTCACTGCTACCTGCATAGCTTTCCTGATGACCGCTAAAAACTAAATTCTGTTTTAAACTTTTAGTATGTGAGTCATGTTTGTGGAAATATTCTCTCAGTACCAGCTGAGTAGGAAGAAGACAGTTTCCCCCATATTTACCATTTTCACAGACTCTCTCCTGAGTAAGTACTTTCTTTTGGGTGAATGCCACTTGCCTCAAATGTCTCTCCTGGTTTTCCTGATACTTGTCCAACTGGTCTTCACATCTCCAGACTTCTTCTAATGACAAGTACCAGAGATCATTCTTTGCAGTTCCTTCCATTTTAATGCCACAGGACTGTTTATTTTTAGAAATGCTCTTACTGGAAATTGATTTAATTTCAACCGCAGTCTCCAAATCTGGGGGGAAAAAAAAAGGGAGAGAGAGAGAGAAACCTCTGAGTAAGTAAAACAACATTGAGGTCTGAATGGTGGGATGTGGAAACAAGTATGTAGGCCATATAGAGCTGCCTTCACGGACAGTGAGAAAGGGCAGAGAAGAGCAGCAAACAGGGAAGGCACTGGGCTGTGTAAGAGCAGCAACGAGAGCAAAAAGACAGTACTGGGTAGGACACATGGGATCAGACATTCAGTGCTGCGGGGCAACAGGGAAATCCCACAGAAAGGCCTACACTCCCATGATCTGATCTACTAATGACACAAGAACCTTACATGACTGACTGTTGTCAGGTCCTTCTCCTGGTGTTGGGGTCCATTCCACATTAAAACATGTTAACCCCCTAGGGCCTGCCTGGGCCTACTTAGCCATAGTGACTCCGTGTTGCCTAGGTAGACATTTTGTTGTTTAATAAATGCCTCAACAGTTATTGATATCAGCTCCAGGTAACTGTTACTAAAACACACACCTAAAACAAGGCCATTTTGTTTATATCCGTTCCAGGTAACTATTACTAAAACACATACCAAAAACAAGGCCATTTTGTTGTTTAATAAACGCCTCAACAGTTACTAGTATCGGTTCCAGGTAACCGTTACTAAAACACACAGGTAGGAGACATCCAATCAGCCAAAGCCATGTATGTAGATGCCTGCGATTGTGCCCTATAAAAAACAGCCTGTAAGACCAAGGGGCGTTGCTCTCTTCAGAGGCAGCCCTGGCCGGTCAGTCTGACTTCTAATGCTTGGCATAGAATAGGCTTTGCGTAACTTTGTCTCAGTCTCGTTCCTTTGATAACGGACCCAACACTGGCATGCATTCTTCCCAGCTACAGCCAATCTCACATTCCTAAGCCATGAGTCCAACCATATGCTGAGCCACTCCCTATTCTTGACATCACTAAAGGACTACAGAATAATGCCTAGATAACTGGCACAGGAACCCCTCAGAAAGGCCGTGCAGCAGGTTGGAAAAGCAAATGGATATACAGGTTCTAAAGCTTTAATTTAAAGTTTAAAGCTTTAATTTCAAGTTTAAAGCTTTAATGCTACTAGTGGTGAATTTAGACAAGTTGTTAAACTTTTCAAATATCACTTTGCTTATCTGTAATCCAAGAGACACAGTATTTGTGGTGTAAGATTATTATGAAGTATTCTAAGATGTGAGTTCGTCACAGACTCACACATGTATGGTCAAAGCAATACCACAGTAATCATTATTAATATTCTCCTGGTCTCGTATTTTGATTCCTTTGTTGTGAAACATCAAGACTTAACAACTGGGACCCCTGGGTGACTTAGTCAGTTAAGCGTCTGCCTTCAGCTTTGGTCATGATCTCAGGGTCCTAGGACCGAGCCCCCTACTGAGTGGCCTGTTTCTCCCTCTGCCCTCTCGCCTATTCACATTCCCTCTTTCTCTATTCCAAATAAATAAATAAAATCTTTAAAAAGAAAAAGGACTTAACATCTGATAGGGACTCATACCACAGAATACTATAGCACAACCTAGCCCCTAACTCATATTCTCCTGGACTTTTCTGCCCTTTTGCGTATATCTGTGTGTATTATTGCACATTATTTCTCCTAGTTAAAAGCTTGTTTGTCTCTCAATGCCTTTTAGGTAAAATGTTAGGTTCTTAAGATTTTATTTATCAAAGAACACGCATGCACAAAAGCGGGCAAGGGCAACAGGCAGAGGGAGAGGGAGAAGCAGGCTCCCCACAGAGCAGGGAGCCCGATGCAGGACTCAGTCCCAGGACCCTGGGATCACAACCTGAGCTGAAGGCAGATGCTTAACTGACTGAGCCACCAAGGAGCCAAAAATGTGAGGTCTTAACCTGGCGGGGGGAAAAGCCATGTTTTTTAAATGATCAATATGCCTAACATGGGGCTTGAATCCACAACCCCAGCTTCAAGAGCTGCATGCTCCATCGACTGAGCCAGCCAGGCACTTCTGAAAAGCACTCTCTACAAAGTACCACCACTCCCTGTACAAGTGAGGTGATATTCTATTCTTACCTGGAGTGTGGGTTGAATTTTGTGCCCCAAATAAGACACGTTGAAGTCCTAGCCTCCAAGATCTCAGAATGCAACCTTATTTGGAAACAGGATCATTGCAGATGTCGTTAGTTAAATGAAGTAGTACTGGTGCAGACTGGGCCCCCCCATCCAATATGAATGGTGTCCTTACAAGAGGAGAGGAGACACAAAGACGCACCGGGAAGACAGCCGTGTGCAGGGGGGCGCTGACTGGAATGATGTGCTCATAAGCCACAGAACACCTAGGACTCCCAGAGCCACAAGAGACCAAGAAGGATCCTCTCCTAAGGGCTGCAGAGGGCATGTGGCCCTACTGACACCTTGATCTCAGATTTGTGACCTCTGGAGCTTTAAGAGGGCACACTTACATCACCCAGTTTGTGGAACTTTATCTCAGCAGCACCAGGAGAGTAACTCACCTGACAATGATCCCCGTGCCAGGCTCCTGTCTCCTGCCTTCTTTGTGGGAACCCCATCATTCCCAATCTTCTTTTATTACTGAGTCACTAGCTTCTTCCCCAGCCTGATCTCTTTTTCTATTCTAATCTTAAATGTTTTTGAAAGATATTTGTGGGGGGCAGATGGAGAGGCAGAGAGAGAATCCTAAGCAGACTCCCTGCTGAGCACAGAGCCGGACACGGGGGTCAATCCCATAATCCTGAGATCATAACTTGAGCCAAAATCAAGAGTTGGACACTCAACCGAGTCACCCAGGAGCCCCTTTTTTCTATTTTTAATTGTGATAGAATAGGCATAACATAAAATTTACCATCCTAACCATTTTTAAGGGCATACCTCAGGTACTCCACACATTCACATGGTAGTGCAGCTGTCCCCGCATCTCTTCTCATCTGTAGAACTGAAACTTGGTACCTCTTAAAAAGTAAGGCCCTGTTCTCCCCTCCCGCCAGTACCTGCTAAGCACCATTACACTTTGTCTTCACGATTCTGACAACTTTAGGGGTGCCTGTGTGGCTCAGTTAAGCCTCTGCCTTTGGCTCAGGTCATGATCTCAGGGTCCTGGAGTCAAGCCCCACATTGGGGTCTCTGCTCGGCAGGGAGTCTGCTTCCTCCTCCCTCTGCCTGCCTTTCTGCCTATTTGTGATCTCTGTCAAATAAATAAATAAATAAACAAGCAAACAAACAAAAAAACGATTTTGAAGACTTTAAGTAACCTCGTGTACTTGTCCTTTTGCGTCTGGCTGATTTCACTAACAACATCCTCAATGCCGATCCATGCTGCAGCAGATGCAGAATCTCCTTCCTTCTTAAGGCTGAACACCAGCCTGGTGCATGTGTGCGTGTGCACTGCCATCATGATTTCTGACAGGAAATACACCATCCTTTCCCTCTCTTCCCCTCCACTCAAGGCATCAAAATCCCATTGGAAAGTTCTGCAAACCACAAATGCCAACTGGAAAATTTTAAAATGAACACGTGTGAGGAAGAGTGAGGGCCGGGTACCAAAGGAGAACAACCCTGAGTGGCATGTTTAAACATATGAGCACGCTGCTTTCCTTCATCAAAATCCTAATCCACGTATTATGTAGTACAACACTCGAGTGAGTAATACTTAAAACATACAATATCCATTCATCAACACAACATCTGCATTTTTTTTAGAGATTTTATTTTAAGTAACCTCTACACCCAATGTGGGGCTTGAACCTACAACCCCAAGATTAAGAGTCACACATTCCTCCAACTGAGCCAGCCAGCTGGCCCCGCATTTGCACTCTTAGAGCCACCACTCATTATCCTTTCCGCTTTGACCCTGAGGCTCCTGCAGCCATGTGTTTAACCACATGGAGCTTCGGTACTTCTTTTGACAACAAAGTCTCAGTAGAAATCTAAACTGCTGCTCTAATTAGTTTTAGACAGTTGTCAAGAGAGTCTAGGAAAGCTTTCTAGATGAATGAACATAGGAATGGAAAAAATGAAAGAAATAATGGAGAAATGAAAGAAAACAGAACAATCTTTCCTCCCAAGGCCCCAAAGCAGCTGGCTGATCAAATTCTTAACGGTGTATTGAAGGACTTGCCTTTGAGGAAGTCACCTATAAGACCAAATGTAAAACAGTAAAAAATAGTTTATGATATTTAAAAATACACTTCAAGTGGAAGCTCGGAAAAGGAAGGGACCTGCACCTGACGAGGAGCCATAAGAGGTTTCACAGAGGACAACTAGGACTGACAGACTTTATTCACATCATACTCAAAGCTCAAGATGCAGGGAAGCACCAGACACGTGTGCGTGTGGACACGGGGGATCAGACAGAGGCAACACAGGTCCTCCTAGAGTGACTAGGCCACACTAGAGTCACATGGAGTCACATGCCTCCCCACACACCAAGAAGGCTACCTGCAGTATGACCCAGCAGCACCCGAGATGCCTGGGGAGGAAGATGCCAGATGACCTGAGCCAAAGGCAGAGGCTTAAGCACTGAGCCACCCGGGCACCCCGACCAGCTGCTCTTCTGAGTTTGCAGAAGGCTTGAGACTTCCTGCTGGCTGAATTCCTCTCTCCAGAACTGCTGTTCCCAAAATGCTTTTTTCTTACTGTATTCTAGCTCTTTATTTCATGTTTTCTTAAGTTATTCCTACTTTGTTTTCATCTTAATATCTCTAAAATGCAAATTATGTGGATTCAGAACATCCTTTCTGCAGCTTCCCTGTGCATTGAAAATCTGCTTCCTAGAGGTTAAGAAACAGAAGGTTGAAGCAGCACCTGAGGGGCTCAGTCCATAGAGCATCTGACTTCAGCTCACATCATGATCCCAGGGTCCTGGGACTGAGCCCTGCATCAGGCTCCCTGCTCAATGGGAAGCCTGCTTCTCCCTCTCTCACTCCCCCTGCTTGTGTTCTCTCTCTCACTGTCTTTCTGTCAAATAAATAAATAAAATCCTTTAAAAAAGAAGTCTTGAGTGTGTAATGCACTGCAAAAAAAAAAAAAAAGTAAAGAAGCAGCAGCAGGAATGGCCGGTGACCAAGCCCTGCTGCATGGCTCACAGGGGGAAGAAACAGAAAGCCACGGGGAAGGGGCCACGCAGAAGGGGCCACAGGAAAGGGAAAAGGCAGGCAAGGAGGAAAGAAAAGACTTTATGACGAATGAGAGAATGGGGATGTGAGAATCTGTGAGAATCAGGAAAGCAAGACCAACAGAGTGGAAACCAAGCACATCAACAGAAAGGTAATTTTCATGAAAAACACATCATTGTCTCCAAATGCAAATGGCATGTGATATGACTGAAGAAAGACTGGTCATGGGGAAACGGAAGGTAAATAAACTCAGTGTTCTCTACAAAAATGCACACAGCTAGTGACCACTATGGCCAGGGATTCCCGCCCCTAACAGCTCATCTGGGACACTGCCTGGAATGTCTCTTGACTGGTGCTCACCTGGCTGGGTCTCCCGGTGAATCCCTCTCTCCACCAGCCATGGCTCTTCCCCTTTCTCCAACTGGAGGATCACATGTGGTTTAGGAAGCTGATGCCCTGTGCACAGCAAAAGATAAAGAACTGGACAGGGGTTGGGGAACTCTGGGCTGGACACAAAGAGCAGCCCAGATTCAGCCCCAACCCCTAACCCCTTCTTAGTCCTGAGGGGACTTTGAAGAGTGGACAAGGGGAGGCTAAAGAGGCCAAAAAATGTGCATTTTTAAAAATTCAACAAATCAAAACAAAAACACCTTTTTTTCACAAAAGCAGAATTGAGTACAAAACCCCCTTCTATGCTCAAAAGAAATTAGGTCCCTAACCCCAAGCTCACACTCTGATATATGTCTCCATACCTTTTGATCAATGAAGAACCAAAATCGTCGCAGGGGGTATCTCTGAGAACAGAAGTTAGTCTTACCCAAGGAAACCAGGTTCTTATAGTTCTCCAGCATCACATCTTTGTACATGATCTGCTGAGCAGAGTCCAGCAGCTTCCACTCTTCCCTGGTGAAGTTCACAAGTATATCCCTGAAGGTCACCAGTGTCTACAATGTGGAACAAATCTATTATAAGCCAGAAGTAGAGCTCGGCCCTCCCCTTCTTGAGTACTGACAGAAAGAGAGATTAGGCAGGCAGCATTGGTGTAGGAAAAGAGGATGGACCAGAATTTATTTCAAAAGTAAGTAGTACTTATTTGGGTTCTGGTCAAGTCCTAAAAGGAATGGCTACTAGATACCTACTGTCCAAAAACCAGTTCCATGTTATGCTTTAGGTTTAGAACCTGTCAGAACATTTTTTTTGGTCTATTTATTTATTTTAGTGGGGAGGGGCAGAGGGAGAGAGAGAAAGAGAATCCATAAGAAGACTCCCCACTAAGCACAGAGCCCAATATGGGGCTCAATCCCAGGACCCTGAGATCACAACCTGAGCCAAAACCAAGAGTTGGACACCCAAATGACTGAGTGGCACCACCCAGGCACCCCAAAAGAAGTTTTATTTAAATCAAGTTTGTTATGAACAGCTATAGCAAGGAGTATCAGACACCAAAGTTACTCTACATTTATATTCTGCAAAATAAAGAACCTAATTTAAGGCAGTAAAAAAGTCTTCAGTCCAAGTACAACTTAATGCTTAAAAGACTAATGTCAGGGCACCCAGGTGGCTCAGTAGATTAATCTTCCAACTCTTAGTTTTGGCTCAGGCATGATCTCAGGGTCATGAGACTGAGCCCTGTGTCAGGCTCCACACTCAGCAGGGCATCTGCTTCCCTCCTTCTCCCTCTCCCCCACTCACACACACATGCTCTAAAATAAATAAATCTTAAAAAAAAAAAAAAAAGAGAGACCAACTTCACCATGTTTTCTGATCTAAAATAATTATCCAAGACATTTTTCCTAAATGATGAATGGCATTTTTTAAAAATGTAGATAATATTTTAATAGTAACAAAGTAATTTGAAAAAGAGACAATAAATAAAAGAAGCAAAGGCTTCTCAGTTACATCAAACAGAGAGCTGATTACACACAGAAACACCTACTTGAATGAGGATTTTTCTTCAAAGACTAGGAAGGTCAGACAACAGTGGAATAATAATTTTTTTAATACTGAAAAAAAGAACTGTCAAGCCATTTCTATATCCACTGAAAACATATTTCAGGAATGGATGCAAAATTCACTCTCAAATGAAGTAAAAGAATTTGTTACCAGCATACCTGCTCTAAAAGAAATACTAAAAGCAGTTATTCAAGCAAAAAGGAAATGTTACCGAAGAGAATTTAAAGAGTCCTTTAAATCTCAGGACTGAAGGATGAGCAACAAAAACAGTAAATTAGGGACGCCTGGGTGGCTCAGTGGGTTAAGCCGCTGCCTTCGGCTCAGGTCATGGTCCCGGCGTCCTGGGATAGAGTCCCGCATCGGGCTCCTTGTTCTGTGGGGAGCCTGCTTCTCCCTCTGCCTCTGCCTGCCACTCTGTCTGCCTGTGTTCGTTCTCTCCCTCTCTCTCTCTGACAAATAAATAAATAAAATCTTTAAAAAAAAAAACAGTAAATTATCTGGGTAAATATAATGGGCTAGTTTTCTTAAGTCCTTAAAAACAGGTAGCACTGCTAAAAGCAAAAACCAAACACTTTCTGGTGGGATTTTTCAATATACCAGAGGTAATAGAATACATGCAGGCTGCTCCAGCAGAAGCTGGGCCCACACGGGACCCAGTCTCCCCACCTGGACGCTCCCAGAGGCTCCGCCCTCCTCCAAGCTCCTCATGGCTGGGCGGCAACTACCCCTAAACAAGTCTATAACTTGTGCCCAAGCTCCCCATGGAGGCCTCACATAGCCAGCTCTACAGCTAGGACAACCAGGGACCAGAGAGACCCTCAAAGCACAACATTCCCAGTTTCCACATCATTTCTGTGGGAGGAAGTATGCTCTGGACTTCATTCCCTAGTGTGGATCAAAGCATTTTCTCAGAGTGCTCAATATTACCCTACTTGACTCCTGCCCACATCACTGTTAAACCTGCACTTCTTTTTATGTAAAAGGTATATGAATAGTATGTATTTTATGAATAAAACTACATCTACAAATAAAGCAAACGAAATAGTGCTAGTCTCCCAGAGGAGAATGCCCAAGATATAATTTCTGAAGTTCCTAGGCAAAGGAACTCCAGAACTTAAAAAGGAATTCTCAGTTGGAAAACAAAGAAGGCAGCGCAACTTACATGGGACCCAGCAGGTGCTGACTCGGCTTCCATCCCCTTCTTGTTCTTGATGATGCTTTTTTGAGTAACGGAGATCCTGAGAAGAGGAAGCTGGAGAAAAGAAAGAATCATGAGGGAAGGCGGCTGTGACAGGGAGGTTTTATAAATCATCAACCTAGACTCTCTCACCCCTGGCTGGGTATAATGCAATACCCACCACACAACGAGGAACATCAGAGATAGTCCAAAAATACATCTACAAGGTCTGAAATTCCCAGGAGTATGAAGAACTATATAGATTGCCATTTCCCCCCTAGTCTCTAGAGGTCCATGCAAAATCTCATTTGCAATTTAATGGTTCTGCTGCTACAAATCCTCTTTTTTGAGAAAAACAAACCAAGACACAAAACCTGCCTCAATTGAACACCCTTACTTTACAGATAAGAAAACAAGTGTCTTCTCCAGCTGACCAGAGAATGGAAGTCAGAGATTGGAAGCACAAGAAACATGTGATGCGCCATTACTGGCCTGCAGGTGGATGGTGTCACAGGGCAAGGAATGGGGGCGGTCTCTGGGAGCCAAGAGCAACACCCAGCTGACAGCCAGTCCTATCATGGTCCCACAGCCACAAGCAACTGAATTCTGCCAACAATCAGAGCCTCTAAATGAGAACCCAGGGCAGCCAACACCTTGAAAGCAGATGTTGCATATCTGAGCAGAAAACCCAGCCAGAGAGGCTCAGACTTCCACCTACGGACTTGTGAGCTAGTGAGTGAGTGCTGTTTGAAGCTACTAAGTTTGTGATAGTTTGTTACCCAGCAATAGGTATTATCATTAAACAATAAAGAAAAATATCATATATTTACCTACGTAGTTACCATTGCCACTGCTTTTCATTCTTTCCTGTAGATCCAGATTTCCACTTGGTTTCATTTCCTTTCTCCCTGAAGGCCATCTCTTAACATTTCCTGCAATGTGGGTCTGCTGATAATGAATTCTTTCAGCTTTTTAAGTCTGACAGTGTCTTCATTTTGCCTTTTTTTTTTTCCAAACAGGTTTACTAAGATATAATTCACATACCATACAATTCATCCACTCAGAGTATACAATCCAATGATTTTTGGCAATTATATTATCTTTAAAATTGTAGTAAAAAATTACCTTTGCTATCTTATTGTTAAGCGTACAACTCAGTGGCATTAATTACATTCACAATAGTGTACAACCATCACTAATAATTCCAGAACTTTCTCATCACCCCAATGGAAACTCTGAAACATTAACCAAACTCCCCACTCCTGGATCCTCTCAGACGCCAATAACCTATAATCTACTTTGTCTCTCTGAATTTGCCAATTCTAGAAAATGCATATAAATGGAATCATACAATGTTTGTCCTTTTGTGTCTAGCTTATGTGACTCCACATCATGTCTTCAAGGTACATCCATGCTGTAGCATGAATCAGAACTTCATTCCTTCTAATGGCCAAATAATATTCCATTGTATGGAGAGACCACATCCTGCTTGTCCCTCCATCTGCTGATGGACCCCTGGGTTGTTTCCATCTACTGGCTCTTGTGCACATGCTGCTGTGAACACTGGCATACAAGTACCAGCCTGAGTCCCTGCTTTCAATTCCTTCCAGGCTATACCTAGAAGTGGGAAGTGCTGGGTCATATGGTAATTGTATGTTTAACTTTTTGAGGACCCACAACTGTTTTCCACAGTGGAAGTGTCACTGTGAGTTGTGATGCTGAGATCCAATTTCCCCACATGCTTGCCAAAACTTGTTATTCCATTTTTCAAATTATTATAGCCATCCTAGTTGGTGTGAAGTGGTATTTCATGGTAGTTTTGATTTACATTATTTTCATGTACTTAGTAGCATTTGCATATCCTCCTTGGAGAAATGTCTGTTCAAGTCCTTTGCCCATTTTTAAATTGGATAGTTTGTGCTTTTGTTATTGAGTTGTAGTTCTTCACATATTCTACATGTGAGCACATACGTGTATTTATGTATCTTATATACATTAAACCCTTATCAGATATATAATTTCCAAATATTTTCTCCCATTCTGTCGTCTTGACTTTGTTGTTGAAATATACTTTTGCTGGGACGCCTGGGTGGCTCAGTTGGTTAAGCAGCTGCCTTCGGCTCAGGTCATGATCCCAGCGTCCTGGGATCGAGTCCCACATCGGGCTCCTTGCTCATCAGGGAGCCTGCTTCTTCCTCTGCCTGTGCCTGCCATTCTGTCTGCCTGTGCTTGCTCTCTCTCCCTCTCTCTCTCTGACAAATAAATAAGTAAAATCTTTAAAAAAAAAAAAATACACTTTTGCTGAATTTAGAATTCTAAGTAGAGTTAATTTTCCTTTCAGTGCTTTACATAAATAGTTCCACTCCCAATGTTCCAGGAATTACAGGAGTTTTCCAGTCTGGCTAGTGGTAATAGGCAGTATTCCCCATGCAAATATCAGGACTATTCCCTCCAGCCCTGTAGAGGATTCTTTCCCTGGCCTTGTGGAGTTTCCTCACACATATGTGCTGCTCTGTGCTCTTGAGTACTTGTGGGAGACCCTCTGCAGACCTCTCCTCTCTGGTGGTCTGTCCTACGAACTCCAGCTGCTTTGCTCTCCCCAGATCAGATTCTCAGATCCATCCTTGATTCAGGAAGTCTGCTGGGCTCCACCTCAGTTTCACCTTCCTCTGCTGTAAACGGGAAACCCTCTCAAGGCAATAAACCGGAGCAATCAGAAGGCTTACCTCGTTGATTTTCCATCTTCCAGGGATGACTGTCCTTTGTCATCTGATGTCCAGGGTCTTAGAACAATTGTTTCATGTATTTTTTCTGTCTGTCTGTTGTTGTTGTTGCCGTTGTCCCAGTTATTCCATGTTGGCCAGAAACAGAAGTCTATAAACATTGCATTTTTAAGTTGTTTTAAATTTAGATTGTATTTTTAATTTCCACCTTTTGAATACCAAGCTTGAGTATTTCCCATGCTTGTATTTACAGTTCTTTTGAATCTGTTTTCTTTTCTATTGTTTTCCCCTTTGTCTTCTGGAGAGCTTATGGATTTCCATCTCAGTTCTATGCAAATTTACATGAATAAAAGCAGTATGGCTTCTGCCCTGCCACACCACTAAAACGGTTCTCACCAATGACATCTAATACAGAGGACACTGTAGGCCCTTTGATTGTTCTTGAAGCTCTTTATTTACTTGGTTTCCTTCCTCACCTAGCTTCCCTCTGTATATCTTGGTTCTCATTCTTCTCTACGATTTACACAATGATGATAAACTTTAATGTAGGTTTCCCCTCGCTGCATCTCTCGGTCTCCATTTTCAAACACCGCCCCCGCCCCCGCCCCGGGCACTTTCAGGACACACAGTATACCTACTTGTTTTATCCCCACTGTCTATCCCACTGCCAGGCACACAACAGAACTATGTTTCAGCTACAGTGAGGAGAACACTGTCTTCTATCCCAAGCTTGCTCCTCACCGTCAAGTGTGTATTTCCAACCGTGGCTAACAGCATGGATTCTGCAGCCAGCCTCCCCAGATTCCAGTTCCTGCTCCAATACTTACTAAGAGGTTTCTTAACCTTTCCCGGAACTTACTTTTCAGTGTCACATGAATAAAGGCTGAAATAACGAGGGATGTTAAACTATATAAGAAATTACTTTATGGAACCAAGAGAATGGTTTTCATGTGTCTACAGGTCCTGTGGAACAGGGATATTTATTTTGCATTGTGCCAGAGGGCAGAATTAGAGGAGTAATGAGTGTAGTCACAAAAAAATCTACTACAAGTCAATATTATAATAATATGACACCTGGAAATAGATCAGGTTGTCTAACAAAGCAGGAAATTCTGGCCCCCAGTAAATTTTCAATCGGATCTTATTTAAAAAACAACTACAGTACAGCCTCTACTTTATTTAAGTATCTAAGGTCCATTCCATTAACTCCCATTTAGGATTACATAAAATACAACAAGCCTGCAATTAGTATCACGTCATCTTAATTTCCCTTTACCCCCACTTTTGAAAACTTACTCAAACCTTTATCTAAACAAGTGGTTTTCAGCCCCAACTGAACACTGGAAATGCCAGGTATATTAATAAATTATGAGACCTGGGTCCCATGCCATCCTTCTCTGAGAGATGCTGACTTAAGTGTATGGGGAGTGGCCAGGCTTTGTTTCTTTTCAACAGTTCCTTGGGTGACTCAACTGTGCAGCCATGTTTGAGAATCACTGATCTAAGCCATTATTTAATCTATGCAACTATTCAAATCTATTTGAACTAGTCAATTAAATTATACCACTTCTTAGGGATAATCAGATTCTTTTTATTTAAGATTTTATTTATTTATTTGATAGAGAAAGATGGCAAGAGAGGGAATACAAGCATAGGAGTGGGAGAGGGAGAAGCAAGCTTTCTGCTGAGCAGGGAGCCCGACCTGGGACTCAATCCCTGACCCCTGGGACCACGACCCGAGCTGTAGGCAGACACCTAACAACTGAGCCACCCAGGCACCCCAATTCTTTTTTTTTTTTTTTTAAGATTTTATTTATTTTGGAGAGAAAGCATGCACGCGTGCACGAGCAGGAGATGAGCCAAGGGAGAGGAAGAGGGAGATAATGTCCAGCAGACTCTATGCAGAGCCCGACATGGAGCTCAATCCCAAGACCCTGAGATCATGACCTAAACTGAAATGCTTAACTGACTGAGCCATCCAGGCAGGACCCTGGAATAATCAGATTCTTTTATGAGTCACCAGAAACACAAAGAATCTTTCTGTGCAACTGGCCAAAACTGATTTCTCTTAAGTAACAACTATCACTACCATGTGGGAACACTGGGATGAGTTTTACTTGTGTTTAGGGAAACAGCTGGTAAGTTGACTACTATCTTAATGTTATAGATTTGGATCTTCTTCTGTAATTTTAATAAATAATTAGTGGTCACTTACTATGTGCCTGGCTCTGTACAAGGCCCAGGAGATAAAAACATGAATAAAGTATTTATTCTTGACATCAAGCAGCTGGGTCTAGCTGAAGACACTGAAAATGGACACCTTAGTCCACTATGATTACTGCTCTGAGCAACAGCATGCCCAAGGGGTCATGGAGCACAGAAATGCACCCAGCACCACCTGGTGGTTTCAAGGCTGGGTCCTAGACCTAATCAGATGGACAAAGAAGGGTGGGGACCTGTGTAAACAAAGGCAGAGATGAAGATAATGATTTTTATATAAGGCAGGGAGCTCAGAGCAGCTGGCGTATACTGTGCCAGGCAGGGAACAGCCTGAAAGGAGCCCATAGACGCACATGATCAGACCTAGGTCACAAAAGGAAAAAAAAAAGCCATTTTCAGAAAAATGCCATTTTCAGAGACTCTCTCCTACATATTACAAACCCAGAAATGATACTAGATTTGCATCTTAAAAATGGATCCTCTGCATTTGGGGAGGTTGTGTGATGGAAGAAACAACAGCAGCAAAGGAACAAGGAAGGAAGCTAATACCATAATCCAGAGGATGGGAATACAAATTAGGGCTGTTAGGCATAGAAATGCAGAGCAGGTAGACTTTGGAAAGATTGGTATATCCTGGAAATCAAATGGATACGGATGTGAAGATGGGTTAGGGGTTAAAGATGACTCCCAGTTTCCTGGGTGACTTAATCACCCAGTGATTAAGTGATTAATCATCAATGTATCAGGAGGAGTAGGCACTAGAGGAATGATGGGACTGGGTTTTTTGGTTTTTGTTTTGTTTTGTTTTAAAGAAAGGCAAACTGCCATATGCAGTGACTCATCTGGATGTGTCTGGGGTCT